GTATAGACATCGCCGCTAATATTGGTTGTCGCCCTTTCTAAGAAACGGACAATTGTCAATGTAAACAAAATAAATGTCATTCAGTTTAACCCTCAAATTAACTTACAAAACAAGTTAACACAAAATGAATATGAGTAAATGTTGTTTTATTGATGTTTATATTGATAAATGCTCTTTATATTTCTTTAAGAGAATAATGTTTACAGTAGTGCCTGATATTCTGAGCTTGAAAAGAAAAACGATTCTGATGTCAACCGTCAATCTGAAATAATTCTGGGAATTTCTGAGGGTCATGTTTTGTCTTGGGCAGAGTAATTTAATGTGTTTTTTCTTGAGTTAATAAATCTCCAATGTTAAGCTTTGTTAAATCAATTAAAATTCGAATTTTCGAACGGTTCTGAGCATTTGAATTTCCAAAGTTGGCCCCGGAAAAATAAAACGCATACGTAAAACATGTAGAATTGGATAAATACCGTCCAAGCACAAGGATTTAATGTATGTGTTTTGTCTTAAATATACATCATGAAACTTTTTTAAAAAAATGTATGCTATAATAGCGTCAACGCACGTTTATTTCGTGTTATAAAGCCTGCAGAGTCCCTCGGAACTGTTGGAGGGCGAGGGCCAACCGTTCCTCGGGACTCTGCAGACGTTATATCACGAAAAAACGTGCGTTTACCCTATATCAATAACAATTCATGTACAACATTACTGACATTGAGAGTGTTGCAAATTGACTATAGAGATTCGTTTCTAAAATACCTTTGACTTAATTACATTTAAGAAAACAAAATGATACACAGTTGCGGAAGGAGCTTCAAAGTCAACTACAATGATATTGCTTTACATTTTAAGAAGATAATCTAAGCTAAATCATACAATTATCATATACCGTGATATCAGTTACCTTCCCTGATAATACCTACAATGTAGCAAAAAAACAGTCACGTAAGGAAAATTGTACGTTATTATACTTTTCCAGTCCTTCGGGATCTTTGATTCCAGCACATTAAGCGTTGAAGATTAAATACCGCTCAAGCCGGTGCTAGAGAACGTGAGGCATGACCTACTTTTTCATTATCCTTATCAAACAAGTCTGCAATTTTCAAATCATTTTGTTGTTTATTAGCTTATGAAGGATCCGCTTTTCCAGATTTGTTCAGTAAGATTAACGTGTATCATTGTACTACTTTCATAATTCCTTATGGTAACAGGCAAAACAACCAAAATACAGCTTGTATCCACTCCCGGTTTTAGTTTGGTGCCTTCTGGGTGCCCTACTTGGGTGTGACGGAGGGCCGCATCCTGTGAACGTTGCCTTTGTCTTGTTGAAACTTTATTCTTAGGGTTTTTTGTAGTACTATTTCGTTTCTGTCTTGTATAGCCGATTAAAGCGAAATAAGAAGAGCAGACACCTTAAAGAACGCCCAAAAAACAACAAAATGTTACTAGCTAGAATTAAGCCCGTTAACTTAAAACAATTTTGTTTATTTTGTTTCAATGTTTCATTCAAGACACTGAATTCCAGTTGGTAGTATCAAAATATAGGAAAGACATTTCTGGTAGTTCCGATGCGACGTAAAGAATGATAACAGAAAGACAGAATGACATTGTTTACTCAAAACTTATGGATCAAATAAAGAAAATAAACAGGTTTTAAAACTGAAATGAATCTAACCATTTATTGTCAGAGAAATGTATTTCCTTTACGTAAGACATGGCGTGATGAAGAGTCAATACCATGTCTAAATAAAATAAATGTGGCCTTAATTCTTCAAAAACAGGGCTGAATTACTAGGCAAATGTACATGGATATAATTTTGTGCATGCTCGAGTGTCAGAAGGGTTATTACAAACATTTTTTTACAGAATAAGTAATACAAACAATATGTCAAAAAGAAATGTCGTGAGGGAAAGTGCATATACTCCTTATAGTTCTTGATATTTTTATTCAGTAGTATTAAAATTGTGAACAGTTGGTACGTATATAATAGTGTCTAGGCCTATTTTCTAGTGTCAGGTCTAAGTAATTTTGCTGTAATGATAAAAAACAAGCTCGTTTAAATTACAGTTTAACAAGAGTATTTGACGAAAATGTCAACGCACGTGTAAGACGCATGCAGGAGTTATTGATCCCTAAGGATTACAATTGATTTTGATAAAATTATCCGGTAATGATAGAATACAATTGAATCCGGGCTATTTCTTGCCGTTGAAATGTATCTATAAGCACCGTCATTTTATTAATCAATTTGATTATGATTAACGCAATCTTCGTCTTTGTTTAAGGAATGGTCAAGTTTTTAGATAGAAAAAAACACCATTCATCTTTAATGTATATGACAATAAAATGTTTAAGTCCATATACTACATAAATTAAAACCAATATAGGCATTCATTGAGATTCGGTATAGATATTTCACTTAAAAGTGTGTGTTAAGTACCATAAATATTCCATGAGGGATGAGGACTGAAACCAGCGATATTTATTTACACTCCCATGATAAATGATGATTTCATCCCGGTTCCCTGCTTTGTTACTCGATACATTTAAATTTGTATTTCCCAAACAAGTCTCTCTATAATCTAATTAGATAACAATAATATAGAGAAAAACAAAATCCCTCATGGACGGTACTGTCAAGTGCAAACTACCGTCCACGCCTATCTAGCACCGGCTTTGCATGTCCTGTTGGAGTGAAAAGTAATAACCTGTATATGCAATTAATGTACATTGTACAAGTTTAACTGTCAACACTTTGCTTTTGTAAACAGTATAATTTAGACACGGTTTTTATTTGTATCTTATACGAGACATGGTAGATAATCTGTGATTTCTTATGGATACAAATATAGTCTCACGCCTCAAAGGCAGATAAGTATGGAGTTTACGTATTGACGATTAGTGCTTTTAAATATACTTCGCTTGTTCGTTGACATCAAGCGTGCAGAGACAAAATACATACAATTTCGTTTGAATTGATGACGCCTTTGTTGGTGGAGCTTAAATCGTGCAATTTATAACAAAATTTCATATCTTACATTGATAGCCAAAGTCCCTAAGGTTTATACTATTCAACATGTGGGTTCTGTCGAAATATTACCTCTGTCCATAAATTATACAGTTAGTGCAATTTAAGCAAAATGCAGTAACTTTGCATTGACTGTCATTTTGATAAGGTCTAATTCATGTTATGATAATTCAACATATCGTCGAAGGAATTGTTTTGTCAAAATATGAATCAAATATAAAAATACAAACGTGATACAATAAACAAGACATACGTATATTTAAAACAGGAGGCAACCAAGGAACGGTTTAAAGAATAGCCATTACTAAAGAGTTAAAACTGATTATAAGTGCACAAAACCTCGTAGCCCAAATATTTTACTTAGATTGTATTGCCCTTGTTAACAGTTTTTTTTTGTTTGTTTGTTTTTTTTTCTTTAGCTCGGTTATTCCTTTTTGATTAAGAATTTTTTACATTTTGTAAATCTCTTCGTTAAGTCTCATTTCTGAAATCTTAACAATATATTATAGTTAACAATTTACTTAATTCTTAGTATTCTTGTTAATTTCAAAAATTGGAATCCATTTTTAAAGGACAGATAAAGTTTTTTTAAAGTTTTTTTCGCTTAGTAATTATTTATCTTTTCGTTTTACAATGTTTTTTTTTATTTCTCAAATAATAACTTTTATTAATTTTCAAGAACTTAGGCACATTGAAAAATTAAACCCCCTTTCCCTTTTTACATTTATCCTTATATCAAGTACCGAGAAAAGTGGGGCGTGCTGTCTGTTGACAAATTTTTATTTGTGAATCAAATTAAGGGGCGAACTGTTCATAAACTTACTTAAAGTAATAGAACAATATACTTGTTAGAGTAACTTTCCCTATGTTACTTGTATATCAAGAGAAACCGAAAATTTTCAACATTAGTTACTGGACACGAATCTGTAATTTGAAAAATTGGTACATTTCTTTTACCGATTAAAAAAATATCATTAAATTAAAAATTGTAACTTTACAAAATCAATTTTAAAATAATCTTAAAAGTCCATTTTTTTAAAAAACCAAATTTTTCTTACAGCAACAAAATCTCTATTACTTAACTACAAAATATTTTTTAAAAGAAATTGGAGGATTTTTTAATGATGGCCTAGTTAAATTATTAGTTTCCGCATAATAAAAATCATCACAAACTATTCTGTCCTTATTATAGTTCTCTAATAACAGCTGCCTACAAGGATTTTTAAATTGAAAAAAAATCTAGTTTCTTCTGCTTCTTTTCTTTCTTTTTTATGATGATGATTGGTAACCGTTTATAATTACTAACTCTGTCATCTCAAATAAATTCAAACCGAGATGAAAATTGACACGCCTTTATGAAAGAAATGCTTGCAGATACTTTGTATAAACACATTGCATAAAACTATTTATCTGCTTCCTATTGATTAGAAAAAATTATTTCGGTATATAATACATATACATGAACAATTAAAACAACAAATAGTTGACATACATGAGAATAGTAAATCCATGATTATGCACACCAACACCAGGGATAGGATAACACAAAAAAGAGAGACTCTTTTTCCATTGTGGTCTCCTGTGTTGGTGGCATGAAACAGAATAAATTTACTAGGAATCAAATTACAGAAATAATAAGCAGAAGATAATTTTTCATAAAACAAACTACGAAAAAAATATTATTATTATATCACAGTCACACAAACACTACTAAGAAAAGATACGAATGAGAATTAGAAAATAAGTATCACTTAGACTTAAAAATGCATCATGGCATATCAATGTATTAAATGAAAGGTAAAATGCGTTATAACCATTCTAATACAGAAACCTTATGTAAATTTAAAAACTCATTGAGCAATTATAAACTTTCCATCAGGTACTTCTTAACATAAAATATAAAAGAATGTAACCTGCCGATGCTAGATAATTCATCAAGAAATCTTTTCCAAAACAAACAACCTACAAAGTAGTCCAGTCATTCTATTTATAACCTAGAAAAAATTGCAAAAGAATTAATTCCTTGTGCATCGTACGTAACAATGCCTAATTAAGACACAATGTTATTTTTAAGCCTCATTTCAATGGGGAAAGTGTAAAAATCCAACAATGAAAATGGCGAAAATAATACATTTTGAAGATGTCCTGTATAGTACACCATTCAGGTGCTTTCTGTGTATATGACGTCATTAAGTGACGTGAAATCATATAAAATGGCGGATGCGTTGACTGGCCGGTGTGTTTTTTCAGTAACAATTGGTGTGATGTTAAGCATTTACTAGGAATATAAAAGAAAGTAAGTTATCTTTTGTAATAATTCCTATAATTTTTGAATTTCAACATTAAACAATGTCTAAAACCTTTGATATTTAAGCCAAAATCGAGTTTACAGCAGAGAAATGAACAATACAAAATTATGCATCAAATGAAGGTTAAATATCTCTTTTTGGCCCTATAAATTTGTTAAAAGCAGATGATCAATTATTTTATATAACATATGTTATTCCTGTGTATAAAATCATTTTTTATATAACCGGTAAATAAAAGTCTGCACAAAAAATTAAACTACGGAAGCGTGTTTGGGTCAAAATTCGGAAATTTAGAAAATAAATCTTAAATTTTTTTTGGCGATTTATGACAAAGCTTTGGCTAAATAAGTCTATAAAGCATGTTAAATGAATAAGTTTAAAGTACTTTTTTATTTGTTTCATTTTAGATTGACCTTACTATACCAGTGAAATAAGTTTGCAGGAGAAGTCTTTAACTTGAAGCTGGTTCGTTACGTGCATGTAAACGTTTAAAGGTAAAATAAATACTTTAATAATGTTACCAATGTACAATATTAAGTTATATAATACTATTCAATTAGTTACATTCTCATGCTTTCGCTGTCATTTCATATATACGTTTATGTGTAGTAAACTATTTTCGTGGATATGAAAGCTTAATATAAAAATAAGAAAAGTAAAAAATAATACCAAGCCACTGTATAAAAATAAAAGTAATAAAAGTATTTTTCTCTCAGGTAAAAGACATGTGAACTTGAGAAATGAAGGTGTGGGCTGAACTGTAGGAACTTATAAAGCAGTGGTAAGTGTGTGTTTTTGGTTAGATTTTTAACGTGTGCTATTGTCTATATAATTAAATAAAAATTATAATTAACTACTCCTGATACCATTTATTGTATTGTCATATTGTATTTTTGCAGAAATGTCAACCTGATTGGTTCTAATGAGGTGTTACAATATATTGATAAAGCAGTCAATTCACGTGTAGTATTATCTGAGGTCAGATCATATTTCAATTGAATAAAAGGTATGTGATGTGTTTTCAGAATAAAATAAATTGCTCTGTATCATAAAACAAACATTGAAAATGAGAATTTAGCAAAGCAAAACATGAGAATTTAGCAAAGCAAAACATGCAAAAAAGAATAGCAAATTTGTTTTGATTGGGGCTGCTAACGAGTTGTTCCCAGAAAATGAAACCCCAATTTGGCAGCCAGCTCCATCAATATCCATTTATTGTCGGTGAATATATATAACAATTAAACTTAAGCTATAGGTGTAGCTTTTGGCAACTCTTTATCTATCTCTATCATAAAGGTTAATGTTTATACAATTAAAGAAAAATATTATTATTATTTCATCATCATTATTATTATTATTATTTAAAGAAAACCAGATTCTGGGTTCTATATGCTTTGTTTGTTTTGTTTTTTCAGACATAGTGTGTAAAATCATGTAAAATATTTGGCAAGACAAGCAGATCTAAAAGCGTTTGCCTTCTACATTCATGTTCATGGTATGCTCTATTATTTTACGTTATTAAATAATTTTTAAACCAATGACTACTAACAAATAGACATTCTGTATACGATATGAAAAATATGCCTTCTAAGGGCATTATAAAAAGCAAAACAATAACAGACCCCATTTGATTGGGACTGTCAACGATTGGTTATATAATATTAACACAATTCACGCCATCTTGCATGTACAGTACATAGCTAAATAATATGATGAAAACATTTCATCACAAAGAACTAAAAATGTAACAAAAATGATTCAAAACCGAGGATGATTTTTTACTGGTGCCACACAAGCCAATACTTTATATACTCAAAAATTCGGTCTTTAATCAACTCTTATGTAGATAGTTTTAATATTTTAATTTATGTTGTAGGGCACAACATGATGGATGACCAAGAGAACAGCAGACGTTTGAGATCAGAAGAGAACTTTAATATAAAATCTGACTGCTTATTCTGCACAAATTATGCTAAATCAAACAAAAAGAAAAGGGGTGGTGATGTGTGGGATGTTAAAACTTTAGATTTTCAAGATACAATTATTCGGAAATGTAAAGAGAGAAATGACTTGTGGGGTATTGCTGTGCTTGGGCGAATAGAACACATTATTGATCTGCCTGGTGCTGATGCAGTTTATCATCAAATATGCAATACAAACTTCAGGACTGGAAAAGACATACCTATGAAATACCAATCAAATACAAGTAAACGCCCAAAACTTAGTGCAAGAAGTCCGGGGAGGCCTATCAATAGAGATCAACAATTGGCATTTGATAAACTTGTGCGTTATGTCGAAACATCTGAAGGTAAAGTCATATCAGTGAGTGATCTTGTCAAAAAAATGACCGAACTTTGTGGTGACAAGTCTTATACTGCAAAACATATGAAAAATAAGCTTATAGAACACTTTGGTTCTGATATTGTTATTGGGAATCTTGATGGTAAAAGTGACATCATAACCTTAAAAACTACTGCATCAAGTATAATTCATAACTTTCACAAGAGGCAGCAAAATGAACAGTCTGACGAACAAGAAAATATCATAACAACTGCTGCTAAACTTATCAAAAATGACATACAATCAATACAGTGTGATAAATCTTTCTACCCTTCATCAGAAAATGTTAAATCACTTAAAGAAAATTTAGCTTTTCTTCCAACAAGTTTGCTTGTATTTTTGAACAATATATTTGTTGAGAAAAACAGTGATGTAAAAATAGCTACTATAGGCCAAGCAATAATGCAAGCATGCATACCTAGAAATGTCATTTGCCCATTACAATTAGGTCTACTCTATGTGTACAAATGCACCACCTGTTTGGTTCTAAATTCCTTGTTGAAACTTTGTTTCAGTTAGGTCTTGTGCATCCTATGGTGAAGTTCAAAAGTTTGAAATGAATGCAGCATCTTCAAACACCACATCTATCCAAGATTATTTCCCTGGACAGTTTATGCAATTTGTAGCCGACAATGTAGACCATAATTCTTGTACACTTGATGGACATAATACTTTTCATGGAATGGGCATCATTTTATGTAAAACTCCTGGACAGAAGACCAATACAAGAATTCCAAGGACGAACAGGGCTTTTTTTCACAGTTTGGGGAAGCAGCCCAGCCCTTAATTTTGGGGGAAAATTACATGGTATATTTGCAAAAGGGGAAGAAAAAACTTGATGTAAATTCAATTTTTGGGGAAAACTGCATGATTTTAAAGAAATTTTCTTTGGGGAAGCAGCCCTATACCGGCCCCTGTTATAGAAGGTAAAAGGGCCCTGACGAATGCCAACTTTAGCAATTTATCGGAGGCTAACATAGACATAAAGTATGACAAGCCACCTGAGAATACAGTGTCGTCCGTCAAATTTGAGGAGCTAACTGATATTTCCCCTAAAAATATGACCCTCTTCAATTCTGCAAACCTTTTTGTCAAAACTGTTTGGATTTCAAAACAGACAAGGCCTAATTGGTCCGGCTTTATGCAGACATTTCAGCAAGGAGCACATCCTGGTACAGCAAATGTGACATTTTTGCCAATGACTGATATGGCACCAACTGATCTTACGTGTAGTAACTCGACCTTATGGTTTGTTGTGAATCAAGCAGAGAAGTTTGGTGTGACCCCTGTTATTACCTTTGACCAGCCTCTTTACCTGAAAGCTCATACACTAGTTAGAGAGCAGATTGCAGGCAGTCCATTAAAACGAATAGTATTGAGGCTAGGTGGATTTCATATGCAGATGAGTTTCTTGGGATGCATAGGGCACATTTTTACTAACACAGGATTGCAGGAAATATTGGAGACAGTATATGCTCCAAACGCATGTTGACAGGGAAGTCTGTTCAAAGAGCTGTAAGAGGTCATTTCATGATAGATACTGCTCTCAATGCTTTGTTGATGTCTACATTGTACGACCGACCACTGCACACACACGTTTCTGGCCAATTGAGTGATCAAGATGAAGAAAATGCAAATGAATCAACCATCAGTATTCCACACTTAAGTGAAACAAGCGAATCAGAGCAATCAAGACAAACATTAGATGATACAGATTCTAATGTTCAGCATGATGATTTAGAAGCTATCAGCAATTTATACGACGCAATTACAAATGGTACTGCATCATTGGACGATACAAACACAAACATAAACCTAAAAACGATTGATGAAAAAAGATCAAACTTCAGACGAAGGCTGAAAGACAATAGAACAACACAGCTTTGGTTTCAATACATGGACATGGTATCACTTCTGCAGGAATTCTTAATGGCTGAGAGAATAGGCGATTGGGAAGGTCACTTATCAGTTGTTAAAAGCATGTTACCCTATTTTGCCGCTGCGGGTCATACACACTATCCGAAATCATGCTACCTGTACCTAATGGATATGATGAAATTGCCCAATGATCATCCAGACATAAACAAAGCTTTCTTACAAGGATTTCATGTGGTCAGAAGAACAGCTCGATACTGGGCTGGCTTGTCAACAGATTTGATCATCGAGCAAGTTTTGATGCGTTGCCTAAAAACATGTGGTGGACTTACGCGCGGAAGAGGATTAACTGACAAAGCAGAAAAACTTAGAGACAAAATCTTTGTGTTTGCAAATGCACCCTTTGAATTAACCTTGTCTTGTAAGAACAAACATTGACCTGTGGGATGAATATTTCTTCCATATAATCTGGGGCCAGGCCATTTCTTACTTTCAAAACATGACAAAGGATGATCTGATTTACACATTTATTGACTGGTAACCAGTTGAGTGAGCAAAAATGATTTGGGCCAATATGTAACCTTGCACCAAGATCAAGGACAAACCCTAGAGCTGAAAGAGAAGCAGTATATCTGTGCCTGCCTTGAATATTCTAAGTCAGACAAGGAATCAGCCGAGTATCAGCATTAATTACTACTATGCCATATACAAGGAAATAAGATGTAATAAGATGACCTTGATATTTTGAACTTGTCAATTTATAAGAATTAGCTGATTAGGTTTTGTCCTTGATCTTGATGCCAGTTTAAACGTAGTACTCATCTTATGTCTCTTTTAATGATACATATACAAACTTGTTGTTATACATTTAATGTATTTCTAAAAACATTGCTTGAGTTTAGTAAACATTTTGGACGGAAACCTCAGAGAATGTCTAACACATAATGTAAGTATTGTATACTTTTAGTGAGGAAGCGTGAAGCTTAATGCTGTTATTGTTAAAGATTTTGTGAAGATAACGCAAAGGTTATCAGTTAAAGTAATCAAACTTTACCAACAAGGATCTATAATTGGATTGAATACTACACATTAATTGGATAGTGTGATAGAATTTCTTATAATGATTAAGTGCAAAAGTTCATTCTTTATAAGGACATTAGTGTAATAAATTGAATATATCTTTCTCATGCAATGCTAATACTTTTGCCGTTTCATCTTTAAAAAATAATGCTATTCCGACAGGCATATACTTTTTCTGAAGGATCATATTAAAAAGCAATAAAAGTAAACAGTCTATTTTTCTGAAAACCGTTTATTATTCTGTTATTTTGTAAATAAACACAACTATGCATACATGTAGGCAAAGAATTGTATTGGTAAAACTCTAGCAACACTTCGTAACAATTGTATAACATGATCAATTGTTTCACAGACACTCGATCTTGATCTTTAAAATATACAAAACATATAATACTGTTAAATCTAGAAGTTACTTAGCAAATAGATGGCTAAAATGATAAAATCAAGAAAAGAAAATTATCCTGCCACCAGGACACTTTTTTCAGCTGGTACAATCAATTTTAAAACTGCGAATACAAAATATCTAACAGGAAAGTGTAAGGATGAAAGCGGAAAATTGACGGGACGTTAGTAACGTCAATTGCAAACGCGCTGTAAATGGACCGACGGCAAACGGTACGCGGACTGTCCAGAACTTATCAGTCCACTTATTCAGTTCTCAACAATAAATTGTATATAAGACGTTTCTATCAAACACTATTTATTGTATTTAGTTTAAACATATTTTATTCATAATCATACACAGTACATAATATACAATCATTCAATATATACAATGATGAAATGGATTAGAACGAAAGATATAAAATCTTATATAGTTCTTCTCCGACTCTATTTTGAATTAACAACAAAGTGATGGCATCAATCTACTGAGACAATGTGTATGAATTCATATACATATATTAGATATACATATGTTAGAGAAAAAAAACCTTAAGGATACATACATATTCAGACATATATAATAAATTGGGGGAATTAGTTGTAATTATAACGTTATCCTAGCACATTAAGAACTGACTTGCTTTAGCTGGTTTTGGAGAATACAAATTTAATGGTAAAAAAACGACTGTGATAATGAGTACAAGATGTTTCAATAAATCATGTTTCGAACCTCTTACTTAGTTTGATATATTTATGAACTGCAGAAAATATATTCTCATTTGCTTCACTTGATTTGGATTCCGTTCCGCACAAGATGATCTCTAATGAAGGAGCTATAATATTTGATACTGTATTAAACAGAATACGTCTTATGTTATCAAATCTTTGACATTCATAAAAATAGTGGTAGGTTGACTCAATTTCACCACACTGACAAAGGGGCGATTGAACAATATTCTTTAAAAATAAATGTTGATTGAGAGAGCTGCAATTTCTCCGGAGTCGTATATCCGGAGTGAAGTATTTGATATTTCCTGTCACCGTAATAGAATAAAGAATTGCTTTTGCTACTTTCCTGATTTAGGAGAGACTTAAAGTTGTTTAATGAGTTTGCATTTCTTACATTGAGTGGTAACTCATTCCATTCTTTTAATGTTGAAGGAACAAAAGAATTAGTGTATAGAGAAGTTCTTGTAGGTATAATTTGGAGAATTGTTGAGTTACGAAGATTATACTGACTTGTTTCACCTACTGTATTAGGAACAAGATTACACAGATATTCAGGAGAATTCCCATTTACCATCTTAAAGAATAAAATTAATTTATGTTTACGACGGCGCTCAGCAAGACTTTCCCAGCATATTTCGTGATAGAGCTCCGATATGGAAACAAGTTTAGTGCATCCACTTACAATTCTTGCAGCATCATGCTGTATCTTTTCGAGTTCTTCCTTTTCATAGTTTGAACAGTTGTCCCAAACTACATCAGAATATTCTAAAACTGGTCGAATAAAAGCAAAATATATAACCTCCAATGATCTACGATCAAGCAAATACTTAAGACGTCTCATAACAATTATTCGTGACCAAGCCTTGTTTTTAATGTAAGAAATATGTTCATGCCAGGAAGCATCATCTGAAAGAAAACAGCCCAGATATTTGTGAGATTCAACCACAGGAATGCTTACATTAGACATAGACAATGGAGGATGGTGTGGTTTATTCATCTTTTTAGAAATTACCATTGACTCAGATTTATTAGGATTGAATTGCACAAGCCAATTGTTAGCCCAGTTTGATATCTTTTCAATATCCAATTGCATTTGAGTTGCTGTTTCTACTGGAGACTTAACAATCATATACAAACTTGTATCATCTGCAAAAAGATTAATTTTTGAGTTAATATCTGTAACAATATCATTTATAAAGATAAGGAACAAGAGTGGTCCTAAGATAGATCCCTGAGGAACTCCAGCCTCCATATTGATAAGATCTGAAGTACTTCCCGGTAAAACCACACGCTGCTGTCTCTCAGTTAGTTTACTAGAAAACCAATTAAAAAGATTTCCTCTTATTCCTGCATGATGAAGTTTAGAAAGAAGCCCCTTATGCCACACCTTATCAAAAGCTTTACTTATATCAAAAAATACAACTCTTACTTCAAGGCCTTCATCTAAAGCTTTAGAAAAAGTATCATACAAAAAGACAAGCTGATTTACTGTAGAATCGCCTGGAATAAAACCCGATTGAAATGGAGTAAAAAACTTTGAACGATTAAGGAAATTAAATACATGCTTAAATATGATTCGTTCAAAAACCTTTTCTATTGTTGATAACAAGGATACAGGCCTGTAATTTGACACAAGTGAACGATCTCCTTTTTTTATAAACTGCACATACATTAGCAATTTTCCAAGATGATGGAACATAACAATTTTGTAAACTCGAATTGAATAATTCATAAAGAGGTAATTTTACGTGTTCAACGGACTCCTTTAGAAGTATGTTATCAACACCATCAGGTCCTGAAGCTTTTCCAATTTTTAGACATTTAATTGCATCTTCAACTTCAGAGCTGGAAATTGTAATTGACTCCAATGATTGAGGATTAGCTGAAGCAGATGATAAGATAGGGACTTCTTTGTCAGAGCCAGTAATTAATGATTGTCTTGTAAAATAAGTATTCAAAATATTTGACTTTTTTCTGTCATCATAAACAAGTTCATTTAAAACATCATCACATAAAGGGGGAATTCCAACAGACTTTTTATCAGAAATAAAACCTCGTAATATTTTCGCCAATCTTTAGATGAAAGAGCCGAATTTTTTAATTTGTTTGAAAGAGAATCTATATATTGATCTTTTGCCTATTTTATAGAAGAAACAACTTGGTTTCTTAACCTACGTAATTTATTCCAATGAACAGTAGTGTTAGTAAGTTTTGCTTTTCTATAGTCTCTTCTTCTTTGACGAATGTTATGTTTGATATCATTTGTTATCCAGGGTTTGTCATGATCGTTTATAGTAACACATTTGTTAGGAATATACTTTTTCCCTAAATTTAATATAACATTTGTCAAATTAGAAGTAAATTCATCAACATTTTCATTTTTTATCGTGTTCCAATCAAACACCGATAACTCTTGACGGAAACCATCATAGTCACCATCATTGTATCTCCATATATGGCGTTTATACTTCTTTGGCAAGGGTTTATGAAATTTGAAAATTGCAAATATTGGGCAATGGAAGCGAAGCTCCTGTGTTGACAGAAATGGATCGCCAACACCAGAAAGAACAATTGCCTCATTTCTGTTTGTAAAAAGAAGATCAATAACAGATGATGAAGTTTCAGTAAAATGTGTAGGCTCGTCAATAAGTTGAGTAATGCTAAATTGTTGACAAAGATTTGTATTTTTTTGTGATGTTGAATGTTGAAGGATATTTAGATTAAAGTCCCCAGTTACAATAATATCCGAAATTCCCGAATCTATAGCAAGACCAATAGCATCTTCTATACGAGTAAAATAGTCAACACTTTATTGTATTTCATTAGATATACTGGATTTTAATAAATTAATATAATAATGATTAACAGTAATGATAAGTATTATTTTTCCCCAATTTTGTTTTAATAAATGATAATTTTCAATTGATAAATATTGTTATTTTACTTTATATAATCATATTTTTTTGAAAACGTACGATGACATACATGTGAAAATTAATAATATAAATCGCTTTTGCAAGGCCATGCTTGTTGAGTTCCCAGTTTACTCAAAATATTCGAGAAAAGTGGAGAATGGCTGGCTATCGGGCATTTTTCTTGGATAGTTTAACGAAATTGTTATCGATTTCTTTCTTGCTTAATCTCCACGTATGAGACCTGATCATGGTCACATTATTAACAGACACCTTGAGCACTAGGGAATATTTTGTATTTAGTTAACGACGTTATGAACGTCATTTATTGTATTGTCAGCGTGCGCCGGGTTTCGTACCTTTTGTCATTTGAAAATTTCACAGAATTGTTACATGATTTTGTATTGTTTTTTCTTACTGTATATAGAGAAAATGTTCCGATATTTTTTTGAATTTTTTTTTGTAACATTATGTACCTTAATTAAAAAAAAGTGAACAGTAGAGCTGCAATCCTATTATTTTTTTAACAACCCTCCTATAAATGTCAATTCAAATTAAGTATGGTGTGTCATGCATATAAAATATTTTGTCCTGTTATGCTGATAGACGATTTTACTATTTGTACTGTATAATTTTGAATTTAGATTCTGTAAGGGGACGTCCATTTACAGAATTTGAAAACAAAATAAGTAAATTAAATATACTAAAGATCAAAACACGAAACGCAAACGACAGACTATATGACGCACGCTCTTATGCTCACAAAGAAATTACTATTCAAAACACATGCCTCAAATGTATTGGAATCGATGATACTATATGTCTAGATTACAACAATCAAATCCTTTTGCAATGTGTGTAAATATCTAAAATATGTTTAAT